TTAAATTAATCTGTTAGTCATTTTGATACCATCAGTATACTTTCTTCCCAAAAAACGCTAATTTTCGAAAATAAAAAGATTTGAAAATCGAATTTTTAAACTGCTGTGAAAACGCGGGTTAGGAAAGGGACGTCACTTTCCTAAACATGTGAGGATGCCGAATTTCTCATTAGTAAACCATTCCCAAACATGGCTGACATAAAACTAGTCACAATAACCTATGACCTTGGCACCGTTTTTTTTTTTTTTTTTTTGGTCAACACTTTTTGTTAACAGAGCCCCCCCCCAAACCAAAATCCTGGATACGCCAATGCTAGGTATAGTCCAACAAATACCTTTTTAAATTCACGTGATTTTTCTCTATCCTTGTTGAATACATCTCAAACAGCGGTGATAGTAAAATTGACAAAAAAATTGCTGTCTAATTATTGTTCATAATATTCTTACCTGAAATAGAATCCGTCACTGCCATCAATTAGTTTGTCAAAGTTATTTTCGAAAGTAATACAACGAACAAACACAGCTAATAATTTTGACTATATTAACCTTTTTCTAACTCGAAAAGAAGCAAATAGAAAACGGGTACTCAGTTTAAGTTCAGAATGTATTACAACAGACAGCAGATGCAACAAAAGTGAGTCTCGCAACAATTGCAAGTATTAAAATTGCCCTCTTCTGATTGGTCAATACTACTTCAGAAACGCGTTTGTAAAATGCTAGTGGGAACATATATTAAAATTCAATAGTAATTAACCACCAGTAGCTTTTTGTAGGTGATATCAACGACATAATCAATGGACATACGTTTTTTGCCACCAGTATCACGTGACTTTAAAATGGTATTTGTCGGACTATATCTACCTAACTAAACTGATAGTACTTCTTAACGCATTTAAAGTAGGGGAATTTCAGATATTATCGGTTGACAACGGCGCGCGACGTTGTATGATTTGAATTAGTTATTTACCTAACAAGTGCGGAAAGCTATACTTTTCCGCACGCAACGGCGTTTGCACGAACGACGTACCAGCGGAGTTCGTGCAAGCCGTAAGTGCGAAAAAAATACTTTACGCTCGTGTTAGGTACAACATTTTTCCTACGAGCGTGCGGAAATTAACATATAGTTTTTTTATTTGTTTTTGGCTCTTTACTGATACCTACAAAAAATTGTGAAAAATTTGATTTTTTAATGAAGTTCAATAACGCAATAATTTTAACAACAGAACGTTAACAATTATTTCCATTATAAGTAGAATTATTTATTTATGATATACCTACAACTCATTGAAGAGGTCGATATTGGTCAGTACAAAAACCCAATAGCTTTCTTGAAGAGAAAAAACGGTGGAGCAATTTCGGAACTAAAATGTTTGAGAAGCATGACATAGAAGGAAAAATTGAATTAAAAAAAAAAAAAATCAGTGCGTGAAAAACTTTTCTCGGGCACAGCGTGCGTGAAAAAGTTTTTTCGTGCACGCCATGCGGTAAAAAAAATTCACGCACGCAAATCAGTGCGTGAAAACGCGCTTTCCGCACGCTCGTAGAAAAAAACATTTTCAAATAAATAACACGTGTCGATTCATTTTGTTATTTCTAGCTGTCAGTTGTCTTGATAATTTATTATTACATTCTGGTAAATTATAAGGAGTCTTTGTTCTACGACATCATCCTAAATATAACGTAAAAAACCTATAGGAACACTTTTTATGTTTTGTTTTAAATCAACTTAAAGAAGCATTAACGTTATTCATATAATTTTTTGTTTGGCAGATTATGTAATAATGTAATTTACCATCCTTAACTTTATTTTGTGATACTGCTACCATTAGTGGAAGAATTTTTAATTGGAATACCTTTAAACATGCAGCTACAAAGAAAATTAGCAGGTAATAAAAATTCGGTTTTCCTCTCACCACAACGAAATCGGTTTCGAATATTTAAATTTTATCAGTGGTATAAATAATTATTAGCACGCCACTGTATAGCATATCATTGAGGTATTCGAAATTTTTAATCATAAAAATACGCTAATCGAAAGATATAACAATTGCTAATAAAATTGATTTAATGAAAAATAATAATTTCTCTTTGCACTCAAAAAAAATATTTCCGGGTTCTTAGAAGTTAGTGCTGGTTTATTGACCTTCTGATAAACTGTCAGGAATGCAATCTGACGGATAGAAACGCAATCTGTAATCTCATTGGTCGGCCAGTTGGTCCATAATTTGGGCCTTAGACAAACAGAATATTGCATACACCACTGCAATATTGTAATTGGGCCTCGCCATACCACTCTGCCCCCAGGTCCAAAATCTGAAGTTACGCCACTGGTTCTAATAAGAGAATTGAAAACTTGGAAATAGCTAGACAGTTTTGATATATACCTATTCTTTCTCTCATTCAACATGAACAAGTTGGGAAAAGTCTAGTGGGGTGAGGTACGGTCGTCTAGGCGGCTGTTTGTCAGTTTCCAAAGTGCTTCTCATAAAAATATTCCTTCCACCATTCTTTCCATATGCATCTGGTTGGTGAGGTCCCCTCTAAACCCTGGATCTATTGCAGGATCTGCTGCTCCGGATCACTGGCCTGTGGTTGGTTCATGATAATTTTTTACTTATCACATTGGATCACTGACTTCACAATTTCCCTTTGAAAACTAGTTTAGTAGAGTGATTGGTAACACAAGGCAGGAAGGATTGTTGCCTCGACGGTTGCAAACACTCGAATGGTATCGTCATTTTTCTGAGAAAATTGTTGATAACAGGGCAAATCTTTGAATGAAATCATTGATGGGTCTATTGAGTAACACCATACAAAAGAGGCTTGAGTTCTATTGAGGAAAACCACCTATTTAAAATATCATTTCTTTGAATACTAACTTTTTTTTTAAAAAAAGTTTACTGAATAAAAGTAAATGTTGCAACCAGGTATGCGCCCTCAAGTTTAGGATTGAACAAGCGCGCCACAGAAAACGGAGGTACCGAAACCGAAGAGGATACAAGAGAATACGCAACTAGACTAGAGAACAAGCTGTGCTGTTCGCTTTGACGCGTGTCTGTAGTTATTCATTATTCAATTTTCATTTTTATTTTATATTAAATTGGATTGTTCAATTCAATTTGTTATTAGTGTGTGTGTCAAGGAGAGATCACAGGTTAGTTGAATAATTGTTATTTTGTTTTTGAGATTTCAATTATTTATACAAGTATCATTTTTTCAATTATTATGTTTTTTTTTTTTTTTGTTTATAACATGTGCATTGATCATGTATTTAACAAAAATCGTTTCATGCTGTAAACTACACAGATAAAGAGTAAATTAAAACCTAAGAAATTATATGCTGTCTTTTTGTACTGAGATTTTGATTTTGTGGATTTAGAGCGTGCATTAGATCCTTGTTGAATTTACTAACATTTTCCCACACTAACAAGAAAATATCCTAACAAATTGAAATAATCAATCTAGAGATAGTGGCTCAAAAACAACTATAGCTGAGTAGCTGCCCGTATGGGACCTCAGTACCTGCTGGGAAACTGCTAACAAAAAAACTCTTCAGTATTGAATATAGGTAGTGTTAATTGTATGTAGTGTGTGTAATTGAAATTTTAGCACAAGAACAGGAGCGGTACCTAATTTAAACTTTTATTGACTTAAATTATTGAATTAATTCACAATTATTATTAAAATGACAATATATTTCGATTTTTGAGAATGTAGATCTAGGGTTTCTCTGCCGTGCTCTTTCCCCTCGTTAGTTCCAGGAACGGTACGATTTGCTTCAATAATAAAGTAGACGTTTCACAAATTTTTCGTTTCTTTTACATATCGCAACCTCTTACATTTCCCTAATGTTTGCTATGTCGGGCGCATGTCTAGTAAGTAAAATTGAGTAAGTTTCCACAACGTAGGACCTATTTGTTGTTCATTTCGTTTTTTTAGAAGATTTGTTGTTTAAAAGGTAATAGAAATTTACACCGTACAATCTTACTGACGAACCCGGGTATGTTATACTACACTATGCATGGAAAAGAAAAAGAAATACTAGTTTGATTATTCAAAAACTGTACATAGGATTGAATTCATACTAACATGGAAAAGTTGAGGGGGTAGTCAGAAACAAGAAAATACCAGTGACGTACACTGTGCGTTGCCATAGTACAGTACATACACATTTAAACAGTACATTCAATCTACTAAATAATATACCATTGTGAAAATAAATTTATTTTAGAAGGGAATCTCGCTCGGAAGATAATAATAATAATCCTTTTCTAATCTCTGTATCCAGAATACTGAAAAACATTTAAATTTCAAAACAGGCTTAAAGAGTTTAGGACTCAAGATTGGCTCCATTATCATTTGAATAACAATGAAAAATATTTTGGAAAAGGTATGAGATTGTACTCTATAATTTAGCCAAATAAGTGATTGCAAGTAGGAACTTGCCCTTCGAGTTAATTTTATTAGTAAGAGGGTAAGTGCGAATAAATTGTGTTATGATTTACCTCTAGCCAATTGAACTACAGGTTTTTAAATTATATTATATTCAATATCAAGTAACATATAGCTCCTACGTAGCCAAAACTGATTAAAATGCATTTAAACGTATTTTATCAACCTATATAAATTCATTCATAAATTGGTTTATCGTCATGGTCATGAACCATAATCACTTTCACTAATCATTTTGGACAGGCATCTTTCATCAGGATTAAAAAATCCATTGGATTTTCAAATCCGCATTAATCCAAAAAATTCCATTATATCCGAAGTTGAATACCTATATAAAGTTAAAAAAGCAAACATTGTATATTCAAATTCTTTGAAATCACGTAAAACATCGTTATCCAATATGTAATAAAAATTAATTGTGCTTTTGTGGTGACTCCTGTTATTAGTAATAATTTCTGTGATAAGCTTTGCATTGTTTCTATGGTAGTCGACAATGGGTTTATGGGTAATATTCAAATCTAGGAATCAGTTGAATTGTGCAATTCCATTGAGAAAGTGAGGACAAAAAATTCAGTGCAACTTCTAGAAAAGTGTAGGTGGACATAATTATTTTGCTTACAGTTATTGAATTATTTTGACTTTACGTCATTATGGTTTAATTACATTAGCAATTTTCCAAATTGAGAAAATTGCTAGTATGTATTTTAGTCGAAACCATAATAAATGTCGAAAAAAATAATTATTTAATTTTCGGTTGAAGGCAAATCTAATAATTCATATTTATTTCTCATAGGTGGCAATTAACCATTTTATTCCGGATATGGAAAATGTAACTAGTTGAATCGTATATACTGTAGAAAAACAGTTAGTTCGTTTTCAAAAATGTGCGTTAATGAGATTAATATGGAAAAAGACACCATGGACAAAGGTAAAAACTCACAATATCATTATCTAGAAACTAATGAAACTATTTTTATAGGGCCTTGTTTCGGCAGTAGACATGTACAAATGATATTGTACTTTCTATTGAACATGTTCTCGTACGCTTTGAGATCAGTACTATCTGTGGCCATAGTGGCAATGAATGATCGCAAAATAACTAAAAATCAAAATATTCCTGTGAGTAAGCTCAATTTGTTACATAAGTTATTGCAAATACGAAATAATTTCAGTCATATCTCTGGGACGATCAAAGTGTGATTTTATCGTCGTTCTATTGGGGATATGTGGTTTGTCAGCTTCCAGCAGCATATTTTGGTAAAAAATATGGTGTAAAATGGATTCTAGTTGGTAAATATTAGAGTGCTAATTATATTTTTGATTCAGAAACTCGTATTTTAAAATAGATATTTGATTATAAATTAGCGTGGCAATTGGTTAATATAACTCCTCCCTCCTTAAGATGTTGCAAACGTGGATTGTTGTGAATTCAAATCAGACAATTCAATTTGCACATTTGCACGAACTTTTTCTGGAGTTCTAAACTTCCTCAAACAGTAAAACAATAAAGTTATAAATAGAATAGCAAGACGTGCACGTGAGGATATCTATAAGTTTTCGTGTGCACTGGTATTTCGTCTGTGGTTTTAATTTCATGTTTAACTTGATTGGTAAATGTCAATTTTTCGTTTGGCTTGTGGAAAATTTTAGGAAAAGCTTTAATTACGTGTTTTAAAGCCTAGTAATACATTACCTATCACTCTTTGGAATGTTGCTGGTGCATTCTTTAATCCAAAGGGCATTCTGTTAAATTCGTAATGACCATTTTCAGCATTAAATGCTGTCTTGGGTATAGAATTTTCATGCATCTCGACTTGATGAAAGCCAGAGGCTAAATCTAGTGACGTAAAATAAATACTACGACCAAGTCGGTCCTAATAAATTAGTGATATTAGGTAATGGGTATCTATCATCATTAGTTTTTTCGTTTATTTTTCGATAATCAACGACCATTCTTCATTTTTGTATGCATCTTCTTTCTTAGGTGTTATCCACACAGGGGTTGACCAGGAACTCAGGACGGTCTGATTATGTTATCTTCTAACATTTTCTTTATTTGAAAATTTACTTCTTGTTTATGGACATGAGGATATATAAGTTTTCGTGTGCACTGATATTTCGTCTGTGGTTTTAATTTCATGTTTAACTTGATTGGTAAATGTCAATTTTTCGTTTGGCTTGTGGAAAATTTTAGGAGAAGCTTCAATTACGTGTTTTAAAGCATCAAATTCCTCTGAGTTAAATGATTAATACGTAGCGACTTTATAGGGTCATTTGCATATTCATCATTTTCTAATGAAGTCATTTGTTCTATATTTCAAACTGTTCATCAGCATAAGGAAAACTTATTTTCGCTAAGTTATTTATGTTATACAGGACAATAATAGGCTTATTTATTAAGTTGTGTACTTCTAAAGACATCATTTCATTAATGACTGTTGCTATTGTCGAAGGAATATAATATGTTTCATTTTTTATCGGTGGTGTAAGAATTTCAATGCCATCAGCTATATTTTTATTGAAATAACATACTTGCTTGGAATCTCAAAATTTTGATTTTCGAAATCTGTTCTATATTGAAACGGAATTGTTGTTTTATTATTAGAAAGAAGCATATTAGAAAACATTAGCGCCGGAACCATGGGGGCAATGGGGGCTTGAGCCTCCGGAGCGAACTTGCTATGGGGGCGGAGCCCCCATAGTGATTTTGGCATTGCATGTAGTGGGTGTAGTGAGTAGGTACAAAAATATTGAGTTCCTGATCCTACCATTCCTAACTATTTATTTTTATATCAAACTTGTGTTTTTTTTTGTTTCTGATGCTTTTGCTATACCGACTTTGACAATAAGTTTGAATATTTTTTTGTTTAGTAGTAAATTTTAGGGACTTTAATACAAAAAGCTTAGATGACAGATACCCATTACCCAATAGAACGGATCTCTTGAACAAGCTGGGACGCTGCCAGTATTTCACCACCAGATCTAGCTAGCGGCTTCCACCAGATCCAGATGCATGGAAACAAACTCGAAAAAAACGCATTCAGCACAGAAAATAGGCATTATGAATTCTTACGCATACCCTTTGGTTTGAAGAATGCGCCGGCTACATTCCGAAGAGTTATGGATGATATTCTATCTCCCAATATATTGAGCAACTTCAACACCGAAAGATGGAACATCCCATTAATAATTCCATCATTAGAATTCCCAAAAATACCCTGAAAAGACCCAAAAATTTAGCGGCTCCGGCGCTTTTCTTCCTGCAGCGCTTGCGGCGAAGCCACCACTGCTGCAAGAATCACTTCCTGTAAATTTGCCGTCCCCCTCCAAAACAAAATCCTGATTACGCCAATAGAGCTGCTGAAGAACCTGCAGAGACGATCATCGATCCAGCGTGGCGATCCTGCAGTGGAATGGGTACCTGTCAACTGGTCCCATTTGAGTCTATGTGTCTAGTAGCCTAGTTCTGTGTGTCTGATTAATTATACTTATGTTAATCTTTGGAGCCCAAGCCCCCATGGTAATTTTGAAATTCCTGCGCCTATGTTAGAAACATCTATATTTAAATTATTTTCTTGTAGTGCTTTGACTCCAATAATTCTATCAAAATAGTCATGGAAACTGTATATTATCATTTCAATGTTGTTTTGAATATTATATTCTTGTAAAATTGGCACATTGATTTTTCCTTGGGTTTTTCTTGTACCATACAAATAGTTAACTTGTTTCGTGAATGAATTATAGAATTTTAAAAATATTCTTCTGCGATTGAGGGTCTTATTAAAGAGGTATGACTTCCTGTGTCAATTAATAATTTACACGGTGGATAGTCTATTTGAATAAAAAGCAGTTGGTTGATTTGATAAACGATCTACTTAAGAAATCACTTATTGTATAGTGGACTTTCTCGTGGTCAACATATTTATTTTCAGGTTCAACCATATTGGATTCGTTATCCTGCATTCTTATCCCAACAATGGCCACTCTCCTAGGCTCAAAAGGGGTAATTTTATGCCGGGTTTCTCAGGGTTTAGCCCAAGGCTTTCTGTTACCATCAGTACACACGCTTTTAGGGCATTGGGCGCCACCTACCGAACGATCCAGAATTGGAACTTTTGCTTATGCAGGTAAGTTTCCATTTTTCTTTGAATTTTTTTTGAAAACAAGATTTTTCTATAGGTGGTGTTTTTGGAACAATCCTGTCAATGTCGGTCACAGGTTTGATTTGCTCCGGCTGGTTGGGATGGCCTTTTTCGTTTTACATTTGGGGAGCTTTCGGGCTCAGCTGGAGTTTTATTTGGATGATTTTTGGATTCGATTGTCCAAGGACGCATAATAGTATTTGCGAAAAAGAGCGGGATTATATTGAAAAAAGTTTGGGACAAACTGAAAAAAAGGTTTCAAATTGAATTGAAATCAATAAATATTATTAGTTTTAATGTTTCAGTATCGCGCAGTACCTTGGAAAGGCATATTCAAATCTTCTCCTGTTTGGGCCTTAATTGTAACAAATGCTGGCATTAATTGGGGTAGTACTGTCTTGTTAACTCAAACACCTACTTATTTAAGTAAAATACTTAAATTTGATATAAAAGCGGTAAGTTTTAATGAATTTTCCTTACAAAATACCTATTTATTTTCAACTTTTACTTTAGAACGCACTGTTATCCTCATCACCATATTTAGCCATGTGGATATTGTCGTTCCTTTTCAGTACTATTTGTGATTGGATAATAAATAACAACTGGGTCACTAGAGGTGTAGCAAGAAAGATTTTCAACAGTATTGGTAAATATATACTTGAGTACCAATCTTATTCTTATCGATGATTTATTTAAGGTACCATTTGTCCAGCAATCGGTCTTCTTTATCTTGGATTCGTAACAAATGCCTATATGGCTGTTTTGATTTTGGTGCTAGTAGGAGGCACAATTGGAGCAGGATTTTGTGGATTTCAAGTTAACCACATTGATTTGTCACCAAACCACTCAGGAGTTTTGATGGGCCTGACCAACGGATTCACAAGTACTTTTAGCATTGTTTCACCTTTGGTTGTACAATTTGTTGTTACAGATCAGGTAAAAAGTTTGCATATTAAAAAAATTGTGTATTTAATTTATTATTTTCAGACTAATCAATCTCAGTGGATGACAATCTTCATGATTACCGCAGCAGTATATGCCCTTACAGATATAGTTTTCATATGTTTAGCTTCTGGTGAAGTCCAGGATTGGAACGAAAGTGATGAAAAGACTGAGTCGAGTACAAATCGAATTTCTAATAATAACGCATAATTTTAAAATGATGTATATTATTTATTATTTAATTTAGCAAATCAATATATATACGTTTTATTTGAATCCATCCTGGCCATTTTAGCCCACACTTTGCGACCCAGATTATTACTTATACAAATATTGGAAAGAGGACAAATATATTTTGTCCTATAAAGCCGTAGGACGTAATGATACGCCTTTGCGAAATTTATAGGTATGCAAATCGAGTTTATTAGAAATAATTTATAAACAATGTTCTGGTATTTTTTTTTAAATCGCTACTTAAATAACAAACAATTTGTCTTTGTGAAATAAATTATTGCGCTTACATAGATTCTAAGGTGGATTCAAGCCAAAGAACAATGTATAAACGTGATTTAGACTAATTTCAAAACACCTATATTTTAGACCGCTCCCAAAAACCACGAAATTATTCTCACCGTTTTTCATGTTTAATTACTTAAATAAACTTTGGATTGGGAATGTGTAAGTGGGCGCGCCTTTTTTTTTTTCTTTTTTATTAAGGAAGCAAAGGTGCACTTGGGTAAATAATGGATTTAAAGTACTTATAATACTTGAAGTGTGACTAGTGTAAGTGTTTATAAATTTGTTTTCAATTAGAGATGGTTTGGGGCTAAATTTTCAGTACTTAGAAGAATTTTTGACTGAAGAAGAGCTGGTTTGTTAACTTTCACTCTCATTGGCTTAAAAGTGAATTAATGATCTTTGAACACAAATAGACGAGTGATTTCATTCTTAAAATCTAAATGTTGACGAAATCCTTTTTGAAATCTCCTGGAACTCTTTCTTGAATGGAACAAATAATATTGGATTGTAGTAGATGTTTCGATAGGGTTCCACATTCATCTTTTGACAGGTGATTAATACCCTCTCTATCAATAGTGTTTCCATTTTTTTCCAAAATCGGTAGGGTTTCAGAGCACTTAGTTTTCTACGGACGGACGAATCCACATCTCACCTATCTGCCCCTGTTCTCTGCGCCAGAGAAAACGAAGAGCTCTCTCGTATGGTGACTCGCTTACCCTGCACTTGGAGCGAAATTAGGCTGACAATACTTTGCGTGGGTCCCCTCACTATCAGGATCACTTTAGGGGGCCTGTGGATGAGCCCCCTGAGTTTTGTTGGTGCGAGCTAGTGTGTGTTTCCATTTTTTTTTTTTCAAAATCGATAGAGTTTCGGGGCACTTAGCTTTCTACGGACAGTGAATGAGACCACATCTCACCTATCTGCCCCTGTTCTCTGCGCCAGACAAAACAAAAAGCTCTCTCTCGTGTGGTGACTTGCTTACCCTGCACTTGGAGCAGTATTAGGCTGACAATACTTTGCGTGGGTCCCCTCACTAGCAGGATCACTTTAGGTGGCCAGTGGACGAGCCCCCTGAGTTTTGTTGATGCGAGCTGGTGTGTGTTTCCATTTTTTGCCAAAATCGATAGGTTTTCAGGGCACTTAGTTTTCTACAGACAGTGATCGAGACCACATCTCACCTATCTGCTCCTGTTCTCTGCGTTAGAGAAAACGAAGAGCTCTCTCTCTCTCGTGTGGTGACTTGCTTACCCTGCACTTGGAGCGGTATTAGGCTAACAATACTTTCTGTGGGTCCCCTGACTATCAGGATCACTTTAAGTGGCCAGTGGACGAGCCCCCTGAGTATTGTTGGTGCGAGCTGCTCTCAGGTTCTTAATTGAGCCCCGCGTTTCAATTCGGCACATTTGTTTAGCATTCTGTCTAGCAACGATGCTAAGGACAGCTCAAGACAGAAGCTGTTAAGCAATCCGTTCCGAGGTATGCGTGGCGGTGGGGGTTGCACAGTCGCAAGCGGAGCCTCTTGGAAACCGGGCGAAATCTAAGAGTATTTAGTCTTATTTCTGTGTAGGGGAACTGCAGGAGTAGACACACCCTTTCCCATCACTCGTGAAAACACCATGGACAGAAGAGAAAAAAAAAAAAAAAAACAAACCGAAGAAAGGGAGGAGTCAGGTTCTGACTTCTCTATGGATGAAAACTCGTCCAAGACCCTGGAGAGAACCCAGTTTAAAGGATATTATAAACTGGGACGAGTGACCTTTAGGGCCATCGGAAAGAGGTAGGATGGCGATCAAGGTAATACAACCTCCAGCACAGTAAGGCAGCCTCGGCGGTCCTTTCTGCTGCTATGGGGAGAGTGGATGTTGCCCTGATTCAGGAACCGTGGCTTAGACAGGGTGAAATTCAAGAACTGAGCAGTGCTAATAGGGAGCTGATCTACAGCAGATCCACTGTCAATCCTCGGTCCTGTATATACATTAAAAAGAGCGTCAATACTGCCCCGAACTCTTTTTTGTTCTAGGGTCAAATCCCTACCCCACTCGTGGAGTCAGGTTCTGACTCGGACCCTTCTGGAACAACTTTCAGAGAAGCTCCAGTAGCAGACTCGGATAGCCCAATACACGGAAAACTAACCAAAGACTCAATTCCAACAACGTCAGATGATAAAACCGAAGACGCTGATTCGCTAGTTGAGAAGATCAAGAATATCGGACTTAAGAGCGAAAAAATCTCTGGGGCAAGAGAGGGATCTCAGGAGAAGCATGTAACCCCTTGGCCAACTTTGGGAGGGTGCAGAACTCAGGGTTGTTAACCTTGAGGATCTCTCAGAAAGGCCAAGGTTCCTCGTTTTCGTGCCAGATCCAGAAACGGCGACCTCAGTAGAAGTGTCCAAGACCCGTCTTGGGATACAAAATATAGGTCTTAAGATGGGAGAATGTCTCCTGTTAAGCCGGAAAATAGATGAGGAAAGACAGTTCCTGACCTTCTCTATGGACCTGGCCTTCTCTATAGGTCCTGGCCTTCTCATCCTTCTCTATGGCTCCTAGCCTTCTCGTCCTTATCTATGGCTCCTGGCCTTCTCGTCCATGACTCTCACTCTTCGGACCTGTATATACATTAAAAAGAACGTCAATGTACTGCACATAACTCTTGTTTATTCTAGGGATTTGACGGCAACCAGAAACAGGCTCATCGGGAGCAATGGGCCGAGGGATCTTATTTATTAGCGGATCGGGCTACTTACCCTACGATGACCCTGAATCAACACCAACCAGAAGTGAGGAGGACCTAGTGAGATACTATAGGATGTATGGGACACAGCTGCTCATCGAGTGTGAAGCGAATGCTCATCACACAGTCTGGGAAAGTACTAACATCAACGATAGAGGCGAGTTTTTACTACAGTATATTATAGCAAACAATTTAGATATAGTAAATGTAGGAAATAAACCTACCTTTGGTAATTCAACTAGGAAGGAGGTAATCGATGTGGCACTAGCCTCAGATCATATAAATAATTACGTCACAAACTGGAATGTATCTGATGAGGCAAGTTGCTCGGGTCACAGATACATCAAATTTGAAATTTCTGGGGAAAAAACTCCAGGAAATTATCGGAATCCTCGAAATACAGACCGAGTCGCATACAAAGTAGACCTGGAGTACAGTCTGCCTAACATCAGGAAGACAATGAGAGACACTGAAGACTTGGACATGGTTCTAGATCAATTCAATGATGCAATCATCTCAGCCTTCAATGAAAATTGCCCACTTACAATAGGGACATCCATCAGGAAAGTTTCCTGGTGGAACAAGAGCCTTGCAAAGTTCGTCTTATTACTCCTTATGTATCTAATAGGCGATCGCAAGTAGTTATGCCTACGAAGCAGGAAGTCCGCATACTCCGCACTGGGCTATCAAAACAGACTCCTGGCAAAGTCACTCATTGACAAAGATAGTCTAAATCTACTGTGTCTAGTAAGTTGGTCTGGACTGTATAAATGTATATTTTGATGTTGTTCTGCTTTTCATATTCTATGGTGGACGAAAAAAGTTACTTTTTTTAAATAATGGTTTTCTGTGAAGTTCTTTTAGATCTGATCTCCTGACAGTAATGTAAGGCTTGTCGATTTCCTAGGCACTCTCATTGTATGCTGTCAAAGTTTCTAGTGCTTTCAGGTGCTCTTTCAGTTTCACAGTTCAGACGTCAGTGATTATTTCAAAACTTGTCAGCATGATACAGAGATTTGATTTTCAACTTTTTTTCTCATTGAAATTGCCTGATGTTGCTGGTTTTGGTTTAGAAATTTGCATTTTCATTGCACTTAAACAACGCATGCTACTGATTAGTTTATGCATATTAAACAGCCGGAAACAAGCCAAATTACCAGCACACCGGAAAACTGCATATTGTTATGTCTTCACGCATGAATCGTTCAACATTTGATGATTACTTGCTTGCTCGAAAAAAATCAAGTTGGGTCAACAGGTACCACCCACATAGTATCAGCCATCAACCAAGTATTAGTACCCCAGGTTCCGAGAGCAAGGTGATCCGTAGGCCGCGAAGGTGAATCTGTTCTCCGTCGCGATCGTCCACCGCGATTGTTAACACTTTGGTGCCTCTTGCGTCGGTACCCATAGAACAGGATCGAGTCCGATCGATAATACATCGCGTTTAATGCACACGTGCGTGCTCGGTACTCGTGTTTTTTTTCATTTTTGGTGAATGAGATTTATCTTGTCTCTCGTCCTGCTCTTGTTTCGCGGGTACTTATCTTTGTTTTTGTTTGTTTTTTTTTTGTGAGTTTTGCACCCTGTGTTTTTTGGATTGTATCACTGGACACATCGTTTTTTTTGTAGGTATGATCTATGACCTTTATTGATGTTTGAAAATAAATATTAGTCACTATAGGTAGCTTCATTATTGATTTAATAAAACTTATTTGCAGGCCTGATTACTCAATTTGCAAATAATTGTTTTCTTCGAACGTTGTTGACTGATTCATTTCATTAAAGGAAACCCATTATTTGGCCATTTTTTCATTTTGAATCCATACCCACGTAATCACTGATTGATTTTCTAGATAACAACTTTACCAAGAACCAAGGATTAACCAACCGATGGTAATTGAATATCAAACATTACGTTTTATTTTTGTCGGACACATTTTTAGTAAACATGAACCTAATTTGTCCATGATTCACACTTCACTTGTAAATTTTACTGAAGTTAATTCTAAACAAATTGGATCAGTAAAATTGCTAAGTAATTTCCTTTAATTGTAACACAAATAAGAAGCATTTCTGAGAAACCATAAGCCGATATATATTTAATTTACAATTTATATTCTAAAGACAATGATGAAGTAATGTGAGCTTCTTAGAAAAATAAACACCTGGTAGGAATGCATTATTGGGTTTACCTACCCATTTACTATGCACAATCATGAAGAATATATTTTTTTCGACGTTCTATATATCATGTAAAACAAGAAGACACTCAAAAATTAATTTAGTTTTTCACACGCTACCTTATTTGTTTACAATGTACATTAATTAATTACACTCATTATCTCGGAAGAAAATCTGTTAGTCTTGCTCGTTATATAATCCCATTCTAGTGAGGTATTTCCGAGTAGGTACCTACTTATATTTTTTGCCGTAAATGATTGCTTTAAAGCATTCTTATGAACAATTAGTAATAAATAAACAAGCCTGGGTGACGTATTGCACACGAAACCCATTCAAGTGGGCTTTTGAATCATATATCCGTCATAAATACAATTCAGTCTCTTGCGTTTTATTTTTAATTTAATTAGTTTTCGCGAAAACTCACTCACCGTCATTTGCCTTGGTGTATCCTTTAAAGGCTTGTCAAAGGAAAAAACAACTCTTCGCCTACAAAGGCCGACGGTTTGCCATTTTTGGACCAGTGGACCTCCAAATAATTAAGTTAGGTTTCTTCGATACTAATAAATCAATAAGAATAATAGTGATTTATCTGCAAGTTATTGGAATGTCAGATGACTCATATTACCATTCAGTGATGAACACTTTCACACCAGAGTATTTTTGGGCGTCACTATACATTCAATTGCGGAGAAAGTAATGTTATTTTTCATAGAATAGGTATTTTGAATTGATTGAGTCCTTTATCTATCAAAAAATTTGTCCATATTTCTCAATGAGACCCGATTTTTAAACCCTAAAAGAAAGAAAAAAATTAGCGAGTCTATATATGTAGGTACATACATTCGGGTATTTATCCATTGGAATGTGACACTTGCAAGGCAGAATTTAAACAAAAAGGTAATTTACAAAGGCACATTTCAACACACTCGGATATTAATCCTTTTGAATATGACTATTGCAAATCAAAATTTAAACGAAAAGCCGATTTAAATATTCACAAACTAACACATTCGGTTATTTATCCATTTAAATGTGACACTTGCAATGCAAAATTTAAGCAAAAACATAATAGAGGATAATGGATCCAAATAAAGGAATATTTATAAAAAAAAGAACATTCGGGTGACATCAATTTATCAAGATAATATGTTATTAGGAAGTTTCAATGTTACACTTGCAATGCTACACCATTTCAACCTCAATTTCGGAAAAAGTAAATTCAAATTCGGAAAAAGTAAATTCAAATTTGGAAAAAATACATTCAATCACGGAAAAAGTACTCAATGTTATTTTTTATACATAATAAATTGTAGAATAATTTGAATTGATTGAGTCATTTAAAAAATCAAAAAATGTATCCATATTTCTCAAAGAGACCTGATTTTTAACAATAAGGTCTGGTTTATTTTTCAGATAAACTTGTTGGTAACTATCTGCAAGATTAATTTACCGTTCTATAATTCTATTCGTATAGGCGAATAACTGGCCGACCCATGAAATTACAGATGGTGTTTTTATCCGTCAGATTGCATACCTGACAGTTTATCCAGTAAGTGAATAAATCGGCCCCTAAAGAAAGAAAAAAAAAAATTATTTATTCACTTACGGCCGGTTTATTCACCTTATAATGAACTGACAGGTATGCAATCTAGAGTATAATAACGCAATTTGTATTCTTATTGGTCAGTCAGTTATCCGCTGACCAACAGAATAAAAGGACGGTAAATTTATCTTGCAGATAGTTACCGGCAACTTAATCTGAAAATGAATAAATCGGGCCTTAATAGTAACATGTACAAAATAATATAGAAACTAATTAAAGTACACAGGTCGAGATTGACTCGAGACATATTGACTGCTAAATTAATTTTTTATCAATTCAAATTATTCTAAAAAATAACTTTATACTTTCTACGTAATTGAATGTAGGTACTTTTTCCGAATTTGAATTTACTATTGTCGAATTTAAATTTACTTTTTCCGAAATCAACTTCACTTTTTCTGCAATTAATTTGATTTTTTCCGAAAATGACTTCACATTTTACTAAATAGAAGTTACTTTTTCCGAAATTCAGGTTGAAATGGTGTACATTTAAAACCAAATTAAATTTGAAACATCATTTAATAACACATTTGGATATTCGTCCTTTCGAATATACTGTAAGTGGAAAAAAATGAGTTACAGTGTCACATATCAACACTTTCGGATACTTTTTTCTTTAAATGTGACACTGGTAAGAAAAAATTTCAAGAAAAAGTTGATTTGAACGCACAAACTCGAATGAGAAGAATTTTAAATGTAACATTTGCAATGCAAAATTTAAAAGAAAAGGCGATTTGAAGGAACACATATTGATACACTTGGATATTTATCTTTTTGAATGGGACATTTGCAAATCAAAATTTAAACGGAAACGCGATTTGAAGATACACAAACTAACACATTCGGATATTTATCCATTTGAATGTGACACTTGTAATGAAAAATTGAAACAAATAGGTAATTTACAAAGGCACATTTCAACACACTCGGATATTTATCCTTTTGAATATGACACTTGCAAATCAAAATTTAAACAGAAAACCGATTGAAAAATTCACAAACTAACACATTCGGTTATTTATCCATTTGAATGTGACACTTGCAATGCAAAATTTAGGCAAAAACATAATTTGAAAAGTCACATATTAACACACAGATTGTTTATTATTTTATTCAGTTAATAGTGACATGTGTTTCGCTCCAAGATCCTTGAATTCGGCCACGAAATTCACCTGTTCCAGAATAAGGAAAAGGGTGACAATTTTACGATAGTTGAACTCGGCTCAACTTATTTACTTCTTATAAATAGCTGAAATCTCAGGCATGGTAGAGGAAGATCCAAAACTTAGGCTCAAGCATTGAATATAGAAAAAAAAGATTCAGAAATCGGTAAATCGTTACATAATTGTTTCGGAATGATGTTTTTGGAGAATCAAGAAGTTAGCGATTTCTTTGTTTTTTGAGCCGAATCACGAAGCTGTAGTTAAATTTTCAGATTATCTCATTGGCAATTACATATCAGACGAATCGCTATTTCCACCTTTTATATGGACACATGGCACATGCCTCGATAGACCAGGATAAGACAACAAATGCCTGTGAATCTTTCCATGGTCATTTTGGTCGATCTTTTTATTTTGCGCAGCAAAATACATATTTACACTTTTTAGATTTATTAATTATTAAATTAATATATTAAACTTACTATAGGTACGTACCTATTGTTTTAAACTATTGTAGATAAAATTTATTTTCAGCTTTCTTTTCATTGCTTTCATGATATCATTCTTTGATGAATCACTTATTTTTTTCATGAAAACCGTTACCAAAGTACAATGGCAGAATAGGTAGGTCAATTTTTTCTTTGAAAATCGTATTCAAGTGTTTTTTGCATCAATCTGATAGTCTATTTATCGCATTATAAACAGAACTTACGTGTTGGTTTTCTCACCTAGATTTTTTTTTTTGAATCTTCACAGGATTATTCATAGATCTTATTTTTCGCAACAATGTTATTACACAGACACATACTGCGGATACACACATTTTCGATTAGTTACCTAACATCTACAACAATACCCCCTATTGTTGGTATATCTGACATAAACTACCAAAAACGATAAGTTTTCTTTAAATTTGGTTAACACTTGTTTAGTTATATAAAAGGAAATCCATTAGTTAGGCTGAGAATTCATTTATTTGAATCTTAAAAGCAATCGAAGTTTGTTACACCTTGATTAGATTAGATTTGTTTGTCCATCCTCTTGGGCATCTATTTTACAGCTCATGGTCCTTTGCTCCAGTCTGTAGAGTACTGCCTTCACTTCACTCTGTATATGTTGATATGTAGTGTTACACTATAAAAATTTGGAGATCTGAAATTTCCAGGCAAATTTCAAATATGATTTGACATGGCTAAAAACATACAAACAATATGTTAATTTTATGTAGGTATCCAAATGATTTTATGCAAAAATCCACCTCGCACAATAAGGAATCGATGGCAAATCTTGTGTTCGTGTAGGCCGGCAAAAATATTTGAGACAAGTCATTCTATAAACGTAACACAAACGAAAGAAAAAAACGCCACATAGGTGTTAATAAACCTACATAGGTTGGGTCTTTATGTTTTCTGACACAAGTCGACGTAATAAAGTCTGGTTCTAGTTTGTGTAAACACAATATGCCATGAAGTAATTTCTAAAAATACCTATCGCAGCACGCTTCGGAATATTTTATTTGCGACACCGATCGACTCTTTGACTACTTGATCTTCGGACAGGTTTTTATTTGGGTTCTTGGGTTCCTTTTAATTGGTAATAAAATCCTATTCTCAGAAGACATTTAAAAGTATGATGTTTTTGTCAATTTCAATGTTTTTTCTTTTTGGGGTTTGAGAACCCAATTCGTGGTTCCTTTTTCAAAGTGAAATTTCTCCAACAATATAAGAACTGTCGTGAAAGTCATAAAATCATCTGCCTCTATTACTGTCTTGTTCAGCCACGTGCTCATTCCCCTTATATACTGGAGCAAAATATAATTTATGACAGCCCTGTTTATAGCCCAAGAAATTTATACCTGGGCCGCAAAAAAAATTGCGAGGGCAGGCTGATTTTTCCAGGGCTGATTGGGGACTGTGTCCTGAGTATTGAGCCAAAAAATCACACTCGAAAGCCTTGTGCGTTCGGCCCTATTGGCCTTTTTCTTATTTATGTTTTTTCGACAAAATGACCTTTACAAAACTTGTAGATAATTACATTCTGATTTTTTTGCTATTTAATTTTTTTGCGAATTCTGGAGCACTAAAATGGCCGCAACGCCTAAACTAAAATAGCTAGCAAAAAAAGTCATGAGGTAAAGTTGATCAGAATGTAATAATCTACAAGTTTTGTTTAGATAATTTTGTCGAAAAAAAATAAATAAGAAAAAGACCAATAAGGCCGAACGCACAAGGCTTTCGAGTGTGATTTTTTGGCTCAATACTCAGGATACAGTCTCCAATCAGCCCTGAAAAAATCAGCATGCCCTCGCAAATTTTTTTGAAAAACCCATAAATTTCTGGGACTATTATTAGGACCGTATTTGATTTATTCCGGTTTATGGCTAGTGAATAGTAATAAAATGCAAAGAAGTTTCTTATATGTCTATTACTTTGGGAGTAGATATATACCTACCTATACTATATACTTTCTAATTCAAACTGTGCTAGGAAAACTACTGAACATATCAAAATGATGTACCTAGTTTACAAAGTATCTATATAGAATATCCTTGCTCCCTTACTCCCAAGCTGTTTCCTGATTTCTTCTGATGACCAATCTTGGAAAGTCATATCCAAGAAATTATTTCCAATGATATTTGCCCAATAAAAACCCTATTAGTATACCACTATCAACATCAACATAACGGCGGTACCATCGATAAGCCAAATCTCGCGGTACCATTTTTTTTCTTCCACAAGTCACAAAAGAATAATGAAATCAACCTGGCACAAGATGAAACCCGATAATATGGCAAAAATTATTCCGTTTTTCAGATTCTTCCAAGATAAGCCTCTCTCGGAGGAACGTGTTTTGTAAGCAAATTGTTACCCAAAAGAACTTCGCAAAGGTTAAGTCAAGGTCTCCGTTTATTATATGAGAATAATGTCATAAGCTCGTATTGTGTTTGCGTTTTTTTCATTTCTGCCTTATACGGGCCTTTTCATGGGAACATTTTTTCTCTTTATTGAATTTCGATTGCCTAAGTACCTCCCAAATAAAGCTATAAGATTTCACATACCTCTATGATTCTTTTTGAAGGTAGGTAACTATACAATTATGGTGAAATAGAGAAATGTATTTTATATTTTTGCTTACCTACTTAGCTTACAGGTGCACGTTTTCTTTTTTAGTCACTATAATTATTAATCAAAAGTAATGAATCACGAATTTTACTATACAAAATAAAAAAACCACGCAGATAGTTATCTTTTTTCATTTGCCTTGTCATTATTTGCTTATTTAGGTAAGCGAACCGTGTACATTTCATTATTATGCACCTCGTTAAAGAATTTTTATTCGGATTTTAAATTGATTTGTGTGTTATTTAGACGGGACGTCCTTAACCTAGTAGCGGCACTTGTTTAACTTTATTATAGAATATAAATCGAATCAAAATCTAATGAAATTGATTTGACAGGTTCTGTCTTGCAAAGGAATAAGTATCAATATTATTTTTTGATTGTTGTACATTATTATTGCAAGTTGGTAGCGCATATTATCGTTTCTGATTGAGTAATAGAATTCTTGTATGTGGTCATTTTTGCTTAGTTAACCTTTTTAATAGAGTTTACATGCAAACCTATATTTAATTATTTTTGCTTATTCCTACTACAATCGAAAAGTAGCTTGAATGGGAGAAGATTTAAATCCAAAATCTATACTAATCAAGATCCTTTGTAGAACTTGTACAGCTTTCACTCTTTCCTTTTGATTCTCTATTCGCTCCTAATTAGGTTCTAAAGGTAGGTACCTACATAGGATGATCTGTGGTTGAACCAAATCCAAGCCAAGCGGCAGTAATGACATTCGGTAATTATTTTATACAACCTATCAAATGTCCTCCATGCATGTGCATTGGTCCAGGTAGGGCGTTTCAACTAATAGGCTGGTGTTTGTTTACAATTTAGGTTATTTAATGTCATTTACTGCCGCTTGGATTTGGAAATGGTATAGTTTTCATGACTTTACGTTAAAGCTGAGAACCACATCAGCTTTCATAATACTTACTGGTTTCTCTGATTTCATTCCAATCCATCCACTACGAGAATCGGAAATGAACTAGTTTAACTTCAGCTTTAAAATGGACACAAATCAAAATTTACTTCTTCATTCCAATTTCCGCTCTAGGAAAACTGCAAATAAGATTTTTCAGTTTCTGTAGTTGAACTTCTTGTTTCACGAAAATCAAACAGGAGCATTCCGAGTTCTACTGTACCAAAGGTCACAGTTTCTTCTATCAATTTTTCATTGCTATGTCTTTTTGCATGTACTACAATAAGACTTCTGAATATTTCCCATTCCTACTCTCAATTACATAGGAATTTTCAATAAGTACCTACAGGTTCCTCAATGAAATCATTTTTAAACATCATGTGTCAAGTACTATGGAGACTGACGGTTTCTTCTGGATTGGACTAATATGAATTAATCTCCGGATGTGTCCAAGTGTGGATTTACTTCCGGATCATCATTGTGTGGATTTTCTTCCGGATCATCATTCTGATTATCAGGTGTTTGTGCACCTTGTTTATAGAAGTTACTTTCTTGTTTTGGTTCTTTACAAGATTGAAAGGGATTTTCACTATCATCATCATCATCATCAAATTCAGGTGCACTTCCACGTGGTTCTAGATGTCTTGGATTGACAGTATCTTCTCTGCCATCGAGAAAACGAACAAACGTATCATCTGGGTTTGCTTCCAGCAAGTACACCTCCTCCACAAACGGGTCGTATTTACTTTTCCTAGCATTCTTTTTAATCCAAACAGGGCCAGGACTTGAAAGCCAGGAAGGAATCGCTTGTTTGCTGCTAGATTTACGAAAAGGTTTAAACATGCGTTCATGAGGTGTTTGATTTGTTGCAACACACAAGAGAGATCGGATAGAATGCAATGCATCTTCGAGTACCCTCTCCCATGGTTCTGTTTTCAAACCACGAGACTTCAGTGCGAGAGAAATTGTTTTCCAAATTGTTCCATTGAATCTTTCTACTTGTCAGTCATTCTGCTAGTGGCTGTATCTTTCGAATGGAGATATTCCTTCAGTTCTTCTGACATGAAAGAGGTTCCTTGATCAGAATGTATGTACGAGGACATTCCAAATATTGAAAATAGATTTGTGAAACATTTAATCACAATCCCTGCAGTCATATCAGGGCAGGCGTAAGCAAAAGGGAATCTTGAGAATTTATCTACACTTGTTAATAGATAACGATTTGTGGAGGATGTTGGAAAAGGACCTTTAAAATCAAAGTTGAGCTTTTCAAATGATCTGATTGATTTTATTAGTATTCCTTGATTTTTACTGAACGTCGGCTTGAGCTCTCTACAAATAGTGCAGGTCCTGGTCATTTTTCTTACTTCGTCTATGGAATAAGGTAAATTTCGAGATCGAATCCACTTGAAATATTCTAGTTATTCCAGGATGACAAAGTACATCAGGTAACTCGTACAATTTATTCTCAGTTGAAGCCCCGCATACCTGAGAAAAAGTATCAGTTACGATATTCTCATTTCCTATGTCATATGAATAGCATGAAAGTTTGAGTCTCCAGCGTTGAGTTTTTTCAGTATTTATTTTACTACTATGTTTCATGTCGAACATGAATGAAACTGATCTTTTATCTGTAATCAACTTGAAATGCCTTCAATAGGAAAATGAAAGTGACGCCATTTCTTCAGAGCTTCTAAAATTGCTAGTGCTTCTTTTTCAACTGCTGAGTTGTTCCCTATATGGAAGAGTTTTTAAGAAAAACGCAACTGGCTGTTGCTGCTATTGAATGTTTGGAGGCGTCTGTTTCCACCACAAATCGAATGTTTTCTTCAATGGCAGTGACTGCTGATTTTGCTAGGTACCTACTTCAGTTCTCAAGTTGTGAAAATCGGTGATAGCAGGCTCTTGCATAGGAAAGTTTCTGGTACTAACAATTCTATGAATTTCTTGGAGAATCTAGGTATCCATTTTGGGTAATGAGCGAACATGCCCACAGCTCTTTGAAGTGAAGCTTTATCAGTTGGTATTGGCAGATTCTGTAGAGGTTCAAGTCTTGCAGGATCAGGTTTAAGTCTTCTGTTTCCTATAAGATAGCCCAGTAGTTTGATTGTCTTTTTTTTTTTCAACGAGCTTTTACTTTTATTTATCTACAAGCGTTTGGTTATGACGTTTTTACATAACCATTTTTCTAGTATTTGAGTTATGTCATGAGACTCATAACAGAACAGTGGTGTTATGGACTAGGTTATGAATTCATAACACAACTAGTGATATTATGGACTAGGTTACACATACAACAAAACAATAAACGAAAATGATTGAGAAAACATTCTTATTTTTCGCTCTGTAGATAAAACGTTGTACATGACACGTGCGTTTAAACTACAAAACTCGTGTGATTAGAACGACTCGGTCTAGTTATTGTAATCATGTTCATTAACGCACTTGTAATGTAATAGTTATTTACATTACAAGTGCATTTATGAACATGATTACAATAACGAGTGTGAAAGGTTAGAGCGACGAGGTCGTAGACCGAGTCATTCTAATCACACGAGTTTGTGTGTTTAAACGCACGTGTGATGTACAACGTTTTATCTACGAAGCGAAAATTAAGAATAATTTTTCAATTATTCTCGTTTGTTAGTACCTAGTTGTCTACCTTCATTTTACCT